TTTTTTTTCTTTTCCTTGCTAGTCATCTCATGGCGGCTAATTAATTAATCTGCCAGCCGCACATTCCATAGTGTGTGCGTGTATGCGAAGGAAACAAGAGGACGATGGTATTTCTGGCGCGTATAAGTTCGACGTTTCCTGACGTCGCGTCAAAGAAGACGCGACCTGGCCGGCCATCGCCGTCGAATTAGGACGAAGATGGAGCGGGGAAAATTTGCACGGCAGCTTGTCCAGTCCATCAGCGTCGTGGGCCGCGTGGGTGGCCGAAGTCTGAATACGGTCGTCTAGCTGCGGTCGTAAATGCGCGCCAAATGCAACTCTCCGCCTGTCTGGACGAGAGAGAAAAGAGAAAGAGGAAAGCAAAGTGGGGAGCGGCCGCTGCGAAGCGAATTTTTTAAATCTTCTTGCTCGCCCGTTCCCACCATCTCTTTTGCATATCGCGATATTATTATATCCAACCAAAAATCGTGTGGAGCTTTGAAGGGATATCTAAATTCTCTGCGGACGAATTATTCCGATTATTCGATTGTTGCTTGGTGTTCAACGGTTCGAGATTTTGTTTTTTTTTTTTTATCTGCGGGGGAACGATCGAAACGGTTTCGATTCTTCTGCATCTTTGAACCGGTTTATCGTATCGTTGGTAACGTGGCCCGGCGCAAAAAACTCGGATTGGGAATTGGGGATGGCAGAGGACGCCATTTTTACCCGTGATAAAACGCGATCGACGATTTCGATAAGGGAGAATGTGGGAGTTTCGATCAGTTAGTCGTAGTTAGGAAAGAAATATTCAATGATTTCGAGATATAGAGGGCGGATTTGTGGAAATATATTACGGATTGCGTTTGATGCCCTTTTGTTTTCCATTCTTTCTTTTCTTTCTTTTTTTTTTTTTCTTTTTTTTTCTCGACTCGTTCCATTCGAGGTTTGCTCGATTCGAGGTTTTGACATCGATAACTTTCGCCTCGCTTCAATTTTTATTTTCCCTATTTTTATTCCATTTGTTTCAATCCGGAGTAACATTCCGTTCGTATCCACTTTTCAGAAAAATATTTTATTCATTTCACTCGATTCGAAAACCGTTCTGCTTTCGATTTCGAATAAAATGAAAACTGGTGGGCAACTTGACCGGGGATAAAATTCTTTTGTTCCTATTCCGATAAAAACGAGAATTATTATTGATCATTGAGGAAAGAAAGGAAAACTTTCCTATGTACGTCAATGATAAAAACGGCCTTCCTCTCTCTTTCTCTCTCTCTTCGTTACGATTCTATATATTTTGCACGCAAGGTCATGATCAAACTGACGTTGAAATGTTTGAATTCCTCTGGATAAATTGTCCAAGTATCAAGCATCTGTAAACGAATCGATAACGAGCCCGTGTCAACGTGACCCGATCGCAAACGTTTTTACCGATTTACCGATGGAAATTTCTCTCGTTTCCGTTTCGTTTCGCTTCGTTTCGCTGCGTACTTTTACTTTTCGATCGGAACAACTGCGACAGGATGAAACACCGAAATACAAAGCAAACGTTAAACGAAATCGTGGAGGCGAAATTGGACGAAATTCGCGAATATCCTTTCGAGCATCGTGAAACTGGAAACATTCTCGAGAATTCGATAGGATTCGAAACGAGTTTAAATGGACGTAAAATCGATAATTTTATAAACGGAAAAAAAAAAAAAAAAAAAAAGAATAGCGAAAAATTTTCCAATTTTTTCGAAGAGAAAGGAAGAAAGGAAGGAAGGAAATTCTATATATAAATTCCATCCGACTGTTTGTTTCCTCCGCTTCCGTTTTTCTTTTGCCTTTCTTTTCCTTGTCATTTTCCATCGTTATTATGTCCTCCGCCTTCGAAACAACCCGCGCGCCTTGGCAGCCTCGAGCAAACTGCACATTCCTTTCGAAAATTGCTTCCATCTTTCGCTCATTTATCTCGAAGGCCACTTCCGCCAACTTTCCCGCAAACTGCTCTCGAAAACCGGCTTCGACGCTCTTACACTTTATCTCGTTGTTGCATTGAATGGCGAACCCTCCGATTAGAAACGTTTCTCCTCGCCGTCTCCTCGTCACGAGGATTTAATCCATTTTCGTTACGCAATTTGATCGTTCGTTGGAGGAGGGAGGAGGGGGCAGCAATGTCACTGGTATATCTCGACGTGTAATAACGGGTTAGGTAATCTCAGATATATTTTTCAATAATTGGATCGTTTACCACCTGGGCTCACGTTCACGCCCTCGGGTCCTTCGCCTGTCGACCACCTAATGTCCAATTACGAGCTGTTGGACGTCTTCTGATATCGGAACGGTTGGTCTCTGTGTACGAGGCGCGAACAACCAAACGTTCCAAAGTGTTGTACGTCCGTTCTCTACGTGCAAAACATAACTTCCGTTACACGTTAGAAATCGTATCTCTCTATCTATCTTTTTCTCGCCTCTCCGTTAATAATCTCTCTGATCAAGAATTAGAGGATTTAATTAACGTTTCATTTCCTGATTCTTTCTCTCGTTTCCAGTACCGGATAGTTTTCTTTCTTTCTTTCTTTTTTTATGGAAGTTTTAGATTCATTGATTCGCTCGTTACTTCGATACCAAGTAGTTTGATTTCACAAATTGTGAAATTGGATGAAAGATGAGAAAAAAAGGATTCTATTCTCCCACTTTTAAAATTATTCTTTTCGTACTTATTCATCGATTCGTCCACCATAGACACACGCTTCGATTTTTGAATAATCGCGAGGGAAAAAAGAAGAAGAAGAAGAAGAAAAGAATCGCAAGGACATGGCATCGGTCGCGTGCGTCATATCCATAAAACACGCTACAATGAACAGGTGTTATCCATCGCATCGCATAAACTTGGAGAACTTAAAATTATAGAGTTTGCCAGAGAAATAGAGAGAATATATATATATATCCAGTATCTGGGAAACTTTTATACCTCGTAACTCGTCCCACGACCAAGTCCATCGATTCATCTTGTCGGGGCGAAACTTAAATCTCGATAAGAAACTGCATCTGCGACGCGTGGCTTTTCGCGAATGATAACGCGGAGGAATTTATACGGGGTGCAACTATATATATATATATAT